GCTCCAGCCCCGTGTGTGAGCGAAGACGTTCTGTCTTGCCGCGACTAAAGCCTATTTTGAAACTGCGGAGGGAGTAGATTTAAAGTGTACTAACTAAGCTGTGCACTTTGGTGCATCACAGCAAACACGGCAGCATTTGTCACCGAAATCAAGAGTAAAAATTCACCTCAGTGTAGCACTAAGGACAGACATCGTTTATTGCAGCGCTGGGTGCTCCGGGGATGCTCCACCTAACGTGCTGCCAATTATCCAAACTTTCTTTCATCAAAGAAATTAGTGCTCATTGGTTACAAGTTACTTAACTACTATTACTTAGTACTCTTACAATCTATTGATTTGTCATTCTGTCACTTCTTATGCTAATTAGTCACTTTTGAGTCGATGTGCCTCTTGGGGTTTTTCCTTGGGGTTTTTTGGTGGCCTCTGGTGGTCCTTTGAGGTTGTTAAAAGATGTCCATTAGTGTCCTTTCCATGAACTTTGAATCTTCCTTCCATATCTGGTCTTGGCTTAGCTCATTACCCTGTCTGCAAAGATCATCAAGTTCCTTATCTTAGACTTGGTTGATGTCTACGGGCTCATCTACACTGCTCCAGGGTGAGCTAGTCACGGGTGCGAGAATTTATGTCCTTGAGTGCATTCTTATCCAAGGCCCCTTACAATTCTCCCCTTTGAGACTTACTCATAGTCTTGATTAGGTAAGTTCTTTTAGCTACCTTGTTAGTTCTGTAATGATCAACACTCCCCTGTTAATTCTGTAATAATTTAGGAATAGTTTTAGTTTCCTTCCTCAGCTCTATGGAATAGCAAATATTAAAGGTAACTGTAAAAATAACTGTCCTTTTGTTCAAACTCCCCTCATTCACTTCCTAATTAAAACTGTTTTGGATGATTATGCTGTTGAGTACCAACACTAGCTGCTGGCACACATCCCCCACAGAGCCAGCCAGGCAGGAACATCACTTTGATTCTAAACAAGGAGTATTAGATATAATGCTTTACTGCATAAGACAGTTGAAGATAAAGTCTGTTTCTTACAGATGTCAAATACTTAACAAGGATGTTGCATTATAGGGCTTCCTGGAGGTAAATAATTTGTGATTTACAGTGATTAAAAACTTAGTTAAAGCACTAATTTCCCAGGTGGCCTACCTGAGGAATAAGGATTGCAGTACTGATACCTGACCACAGTAATAGTGCCATCCAGCACTAAATTCAGATGAAGCAAGAAAGAGACCAGAGAGAGGAAATTGTTGAGGTTTGAAGGTACCTCTTGAAATCATTGAGCACAACTCACCTGCCCAAAGTAGGATCAGCAAGAGCAGGTTGTTCAGGACCATAACCAGATGACTTTTGAGTATCTCCACAGCTGGAGACTTCACCACCTCTGCCAGCATACGACATCCCTCACAAGAAAAAGTTTTCTTGTGTTCCAGGGGGATGTCATGTATTTTAATTTGCCCCCATTGCCTCTTGCTCTGTCAGTGGGCACTGCTGAGGGGAGGCTGGGTCCCTCCCTTTCATTGCATCCCATCAGGTATTTATGCACATAGATAAAATTACCTCGAGCCTTCTCTTGCTCAGGCTCAGGAGTCAGCCTCTCCTCACATGACAGATGCTCCAGGCCATGTGCTGGACTCCCTCCCTCAAGTCCCTATCTTTCTCATACTGGAGAGCCTACTGAGGTACAGCCTCACCACTGCCCAGTCATTCACTGTTCAGCAACTTCAGGGAATGTCCTGCCAAGAAGGGTCTATCCAAGGTTAAAAAACCCCTCACAGTTCCTCCGTCTTGGCTGTTCTTGCTGCAAACAGTTAAGTATATACACTGATGGAAAGGAAGAATAGGTTTAAATATGCTGGATTTAGAATAAACACCATCTCATCAGGTATTCGCAAGGGAAAGCTACATGTTTTCACTGGAAGTGCAACATCCTCATTGCATGTGTACTTGCTGCAGATTGTAACAGTGCAAAAGGCCACATTTTCTCAAGCTGACACTGCTGGATAGTGTCTAAATCCTCAGCACAGACACATGCAACAGCAACACAGGCCTTCATGCTGCTCCACAGGGAAGACAATGCTGGTGGGGGAGGAGCGCAGGAGAAACTGAAGTACAGCTACTAACATCCTTCAGAAATTGTACCTTGGGCAAGTTGTCCAGTGTAAGTTTTGACAAGCAAAATGAACATAAATTAACCACACTTCTCTTATAAATATTTTATTAGAATACAGCTGTGAGTGTCATAAAAAACATTCTGACCATTTTATAGTGAGAACACTGCATTGAGAGATTTTGATTTCTTGCCCATTTTGTATTTGAACAACCAATCACTTTGGAATTCAGAAAATACAATCTTTGTTAGTCAGGAACAAAGTCAGGGACTGGACAGGGAGAACAGAATCAGTGCTTAATAATGAACACGATAAAAATATCTTGAAGGGTTGTTTTTTTCTTGATGTCTTTTTAATTCTGTTGAGAAATGCACTCAGATCCTTTTCCATGAGAACACAGGATACTGCACCAGCACCGAACACACTTTATCTATTTCTTTAATCCTTGTATTTGCCAATATGTTCACGAGCTATAATCATCCTTTGAATCTGAGCAGTTCCCTCATAAATCTGTAAAGAAGAATTGCAATAATGTTAACTGATGATTTTTTAAAAGGTTTTAACACATCTACACTTGTAAACCTCCATGACACTAATCCAGTGTGGGTTAGGATGTACAGGAAGACAGAGAAAGCAAAGAGAATTCCACTGTGACAGAGTAATTACAGTGAGCTAAATGAAATACAACATACAAGATGCTGACAGTCTTGTTCTCTCAGGTGCTCTTATCTAAACCCAGTAGGGCTCTCATGGAAATAAAAACAGATTATGTCATTCCTCTTATGTGAGGAAGAAAATGCATAATTTATATTTCCAAAGGAGGATTTTAAATCATAGGTAGAGGGGAAGAGGTGACTTGTGTGTAAGTGTGGCATTTTCTTCGACTAGCCTTTCAAAGTCATACCATATGTTCTCTTTGATCCATTTACTCCCATTGCTTCTTGTTAAATGGTTGTCCCATACATTTTGTTTGGTTTTGGCTTATTCTTGCCTTTTCTCCTAGAACACCCTTCATCATCCCTCTGTTCTATTTGTTGACTGGCAGCAAAGCCAAAGACAGACAAAAAAGCACCTATAAAGCTATACTGCCAAAGGAGCCACGTGCTCCACAGGCAAACTGCAGTGTGATACAAGAGCTGAAGCAACATAGTTTAGAGGTTTGAGCATTTCAGCTCCCAATTCTGCCAGCACAAACTTGGCAAATTGCTCAAAATCATGCAAATGCGCTTTCATAATCCCTACCAGGAATAACCTTCCCAAGAACATTACAGAGCTTTTTGAAAGGACACTATAACCTATGTTCACATCAGTGTTCTGGCTCAGAAGAAGCTGTTCCTTCCCAAAGTGAATTCCCTGACTGCTGCTGCTTACCCTACACTGACTCAGTTCACAGATCCAGTTCCAGTCACAGACTGTTTTGTGAGTACTGGGTGTCTTCTGGAGCAAAGTGAAATGAAGCTTTGCTTTATTTCTGTACCAAATATTCACCAATCCTTGGGAAAGCCACAATGACCCAAGCCTGTAATTGGCCCCTTACAATTACATGCCTGTCAGGGACACACACCCCAAGGGACCCAAAAGGTTTGCTATGAGCTCTGTCCAAACTGCTTTGAGGGTAGCTGTCAGGGCCTCAGCAGCTCTTCCTGCTATCTACTGATCTGCTGCTATTGCACTAAAGTACTTGCTGATGAAGACAGCCATGGAACTCCAGTGTAAAGACATCAAAACTCACAATCTTTAGTAATTACAGGAAAGGTTTTTGTTCATAAGCTGATGGAAATAGTTTCAAGAATCCTTGCCAGTTAAAGAAGGGAAGTTTTCCAAATCTGAGAAAGGAAACTAAGAGTTGCTACCAAAGCAGACTAGATTTGTAGCCAGACAAAACCAGAGCAGAACAAGGACCTGTAGAATGTTACCAGTAAACACAGTATGAGTAAACACATGCAAGATAATCCTTTCACATGCCCTGGTTTCAGCTGGGAGAGTTAATTTTCTTCCTAGTAGCTGGTACAGTGTTGTGTTTTGGATTTAGTGTGAGAACAATGTTGATAACACTTTGATTTTCAGCCGTTGCTCTGTAGTGCTTGCTCTAAATCCAGGACCTCCCAGTTTCTTGTGCTCTGCCAATGAGGAGATGCACAAGAAGCTGGGAGGGAGCACAGCCAGGAGGGCTGATCCAAAGTGGCCGGAGAGATATTTCATACCAGAGAGCATCATGTCCAGTATATAAACTGAGGGAGCTGACTGCGGGTGCTGATCGCTGCTGGTGGATGGGGCACTGGTCACCAGGTGGTGAGTGGTTGTATTGTGCCTCACTTCTTCTTCTTGGGGTTTATTCCTCTCTGTTTCTCCCTTTTATTGTCATTGTTATTATTGACTTTATTTCAATTATTAAACTGTTCTCATTCTCAACCCATGAGTGTTACCTTTTTTCCCCTATTTTCCCCCCAGTCCCTCCAGGGGAGCAACAGGGACAGAGAAAGTGGCTGTGTGGTACTTGGTTGTCAGCTGGGGCTGAGCTGTGACACCATGGTCCTCAACACCGGCGATATCTTAATCAAAGCATTCTACCCAGCTTATAATACCAAACTTTCAATCAAAAGGTTTACAGCACAACAACAAATGATGGAGACTGGAAACAGAAAGGAAAAACAAAACCAAAAACCTCAACCAAGCAAACCCCGCCTTTTTCCTCATAGGTTGTGGGGTAAGAAGTTGCTTTAGTGTTCAGGCTGAAAAAAGCTAGACTATAGGCAGCATCAATCCAGGATGGTCAGAGGATTTGCATCTATAAAAATGTCCCAGAGCAGTATGATACATAAACCCCCTCTACTTACAAAATACCAAAGCAAGCACTGGCATTTTGATCAGGGCTTTTTTTCTAAGACTTCAAAAGCTTCAAAACTTAGAGTCCAAGAATTGCAAAGAGTTAGATGAAAAAAAAGAAAAAACGTAACTTCTCTTTCATGGGTTCAGTTTTGGTCCAGTGCAATGACTTGTATGCAAGCAATTTCCTGATTTGACTGACTTTTTCTTTAAATTAAAGGATTCTTGCTTTCATTCTAATAACTTTTTTTTTAGTATGTGCACATCATGATTTGAAGTTAGTAACCCTTATTTTATTTTATATACAATTTATGCATTATCACTTTCTCTCTTTTACTTACCTGGTAGATTTTAGCATCTCTCATTAGTTTTTCTACAGGATATTCAGTATTAAATCCATTTCCTCCAAAAATCTGTACTGCATCTGCAGCTACTTGGTTTGCAATGTCACCAGCAAATGCCTTTGCAATGGAAGCATAGTAGGTGTTCCTGCGCCCAGCATCAACTTCCCAGGCAGCTCTCTGGTAAGCCATCCTGGCAAGCTCCACTTTCATTGCCATTTCAGCAAGCAAGAAGGACACTGCTTGGTGCTATGATGAGAAAAACTAGGTTAACAGTGCCTGCTTCACATTCTGGGACATCCAAGAAAGACAGCATCTCCTTAATAGAGTGATTTTTTTCAACACACTGAATAAATTGTACAAGAGGAATCCTACAGGATATACATCAGGCTCTCAGAATTGTACACTGAATTAGACTTCTAAGTTTTTGACTCCCAAATCTATTTAGTCACAGGGATTAAATACTGAAAGTTCTTTACTATTTATGAGATTGGTATTTACCTTGCTGTTTATTCATTTTTCTTTAAAACAGGTAAGCAGCATGGTTGGCAATGTGTTCTACTGGTACTAATGCAGAATCACAGAATCTCTTGAGCTGGTAGGATCCACAAGGATCCACAAGGATCATCAGTCCAACCCCTGCCCTGCACAGGACACCCCAACAATTCATCCTGTGCCTGAGAGCATTGGCCAACCACTCGTTGACCTCTGTCAGGATTGGGGCTGTGACTACTGCCCGGAGGAGCTGTTAAGTGCCCAAACACCCTCTGGGGGAAACACCTTTGCCTAATATCTAACCTGAACCTCCCCTGACACAATTTCAGGCCATTCTATACTATGTGCCTTGTTTCATGTACCTGAGGTTTTTTCCTTTCCTGAAAATTCCACTTTATTAGCACTGAAGAACTTAAGTATGTTCTGCTAGTGCTTAAGTGTTGAGGTTTTGGCAGAGGTTTTTTTTTGCTTTTACCACTGCCATTGATAAATTATAGAAAATTGCTGAAGTTAACACATAGTTTACTTCAGTTTACACAAACTAAGTTTACTGAAATGGTGCTGATCTGTATAATTGGAAAAATCAATGTATAACCTTCAAAAATCGGTAGCAGTTCATCTGGTGTGAAAACACAGCTTTTATTATATTCTCTCTGCCCCCACACTTACCTCAGCAATTGCTTTCCCAAAGGTTTTCCTCTCCAAAGCATATCTAGTAGCCTCATCAAGGGCCCTCTTTGCTAATCCAACAGCACCAGCTGCCACCTGAATTGAAGACAGCACAGAGTAAACAATCAGAAATTTCTGGTGTATGTTATAAACAAACTGTTTGTGGCACTCACAGGAGGTCTGGTCTTATCGAAGGCTCCCATTGCGATTTTGAAGCCGGCGCCTTCAGCTATGAGCACGTTCTCCTTTGGGACCCTCACGTCCTCAAAGACAATACCTCGTGTATCTGAGCAGCGTTGGCCCATGTTCATTTCCTGCAGCGGGACATTCACAGAGGTTCTACTGGACAGGATTATTCAAGGTACAATACATTTCCATTCTTTAGTTTACTCAAAGCACAGAGTGTGCTTTTCTTCCCAGAACACTTAATCCAAACATTACCACATACACCACAAATACTAGTCCTGTACTTGCAGACCAACATGCCCTTAATTTGTTTAAGCTGGGCAGTTTACTTCCTCCTAATATGAAATCAGTTCTGTCTCTGTAATCAGTCTTCTTCTCTTTCTCTAGTTCAGCTATCTGCTTCAAGATAGGAATGGAAGAAGAAGACTCGAACGTGTGGGCAGTACAGGTGCACTACATGGAAATAAATAAATAAATGAGCTTTTCAGGTTTTCAGATTCATTTGCTAATGTTCAGTACCCAGATTTGCGTACTGTTAAAAACAGTACTTTTTTTTTTAAAGAGAGAACGAGCACCAGTGTCTCCAAGGCCTCTTCTTTGACCAGCAGTAGCTAAAATTAAAGTTTACTCTCGTGTATATTTATGGTTAAAATTGTCCAACTGGCTGCTTATCCTTTCAAGGCATAATATTATCGGCACTTGTCAATAGAATAGTTGTTAAAGATTCTTTTGCAGCTGTTCAAAGTCATCGTACTTCAGACCATTCTGAATAATTCCTTATCTGAATTAACGACTTTAAAATTATGTTGTATGAATCATTTCTCTATGTTGTGAAAATGAAAAGATGGTTGTACATGAGCATATGAAAATGTTCAGTTGTGTCACAGTCTATTTCTTTAGTGGTGCATTTGTTGCATTATTGATTTAGAACTGAACAACAGTTCATGGCTTGTCCAATAAGAAATACAGTGTTCACCTTTCTTCCAATCTGGATCCCAGGGCTATCTGCTTCCACAATGAATCCAGTAAAGGCTTTGCCTGCAGGAACTTTTGGATCTGGATTGGTACGTGCCAGCAGGAAATACCTAGGGTAAACCAAAGAATATGGATGCAGTTTACCTCACAATTAACAACCAGTTACATTTAGCTAACAGTTGAGACATCTTTATGCACATTTCTACCACATAATAAATTCTCTCTGTAAGTGAGCAACCTTTCCTTCTTGCCAATCCCAAAAATAAACTAAGGGTGTAAGAGTGAAAGTTTCAAAGATTCAAGATTTCATAACATTTAATAAAAGTATTTCAGATCAGCTTGCAAAGGTTCTCTACCTTTTCCATGTACTTTATGATATTACTAGCTTCACAAACAGTACAAAAGAAACCTAGTCACAGCACAGTCATAAAAATTAATGCTTAGGAAATACATTCTTGTATGTCAATTGTTATGTTACCACCCAATTTCAAAGACCTTCATTTTATTCTTCTAAGTATAATTTGTAAATAAGTATTTCTCTTAGAAATTAAACAGCTGTAAATCACATGTGTGGCAATCAGTAATGTCAAAAGATATCTGGCAGATTGTCTTTGATGGACCTGCCTTCAGCAAGGAAATAACTAGAAAATTCAGCTTCTGGATAAATGTATAAAATTTTTTCCACTTGAATTAAGGAGAATTTCTGTGCTGTGAATCAGTGTGATGTGAGACTTGATGTGAGGTGTTTATATTGTAAAACATTGCTCCACAGGCACCACAACAGTGTCTGGAATCTTTGACAGATATAAAATGTTTACTTTTCAGAAAATAAAGTGCAGCACCACAGTCTAACAGTGTTTCTAGCTTCACTAGGAGTGAGAGGGGTTTCTAGTCAAATGAGATTGATTTCTGATAGCAGCAAGATTCAAGAGGCCATTCTCAAGTGTGGAGTTGTCATGTCATCACTCATTTTCCTCCTTAGGCCTTGCACAGCACTCAGGCTGCATTTGTGTATGCTAAACTGACAGAGTGGTCAGAGACTAAACGCATTCCGCTGAAACACCATGAACACTCAGATTTATCAGACCTTTACAAAATTTAACTGGGGGGAGGGGGTGAAGTCACTAGATAATATAGCAACAACACATATGATACTAGTTAACATACCAGTTTGCTTTCCCCCCATTCGTGATCCACATCTTCTGGCCATTAATAATATACTCATCTCCTTTCTTCTCAGCCTTTGTTTTTATACCAGCCACATCAGAGCCTGCTCCAGGCTCTGTTACACAGTAGGCCTAAAAGAAATTAAAATGCAAAGTTTTGAGGAATAAAAGTCCTGGTTTTAGGCAACCACAAAGTAATGCAGACTATGTGCATCAAACTGATCTAGAAAAGGTTTCAGCAAACTGCAAAGCAAACCCCAAAACATTAAATAAACAAAAAAGAAAAAAAACAACCCAAAACAACTCAACCCAAAAAAACCCGCAACAGCTGGCTGAGCAAGAATCCAAACACATAAGGGTTAATTTTCTTTATAAATCCATAATGATACATAAAATTATATTTTAATCAAACAGAAACATTCTGTAGCCCTTAAGTTATTACTTCCTCAGGTTCCACAAATTCTGAGGTGAAAGTGGAGGATCTTTAAAATCTGAAAAGTACTGAGTAACATTTTATGTTTACTGAGTCCTTTCTTTTAGGAGGCTTAGTTGTACAGATTTACATACACTGCGCATGAATTTTTACTTCTATGTAACAAGTACTGCTTTTGCAATATTTAAGATCACAAATAGAGCTTCATTTATAAAATTTGTATTTTTCTTAAATGCCTACACGCCCTCTTGAAAGGGAAACAGAAAGTGTTAATTTTTGGTGAGTGACCACGGATAGAGATGATTTTCCAAGTAGTATCTTGTATTTGCTTATTGGATGTATCTCATTACATTGGATGTATCTCTGGCTTTCAATAAATGTTGCTGTTTACTTACAAACCAAAAAGGCCTAAGTTATGAGTATATGTAAGTGTTTTCTGCGTGGAAAAAAAGGGAAAAAAATAAAAGGAAAAATAAAAGGAGTAATACTACTAATATGGTTTAGGAACATTCTGCATTGTAGCAGTTATACTTACACACATCAATGGTTCCTCTGTCATTCTTCCTAAGTATTTTTTCTGCTGATGATCATTTCCTGCAATGATAACTGGCATTTGCTGAAAGAAAATACTTAGATCATTAATCCAGTTTTTTAAAGTGCACAGATTGGAGTGTGAGGGCTGCAAGAAATGACAGGACTCACCCCCAGGGAGTTTGCCTCAATGGCAGTTTGAACCCCCGTGCAGCCGTAAGCCAGCTCCTCCGTGATAAGGCACGCTTCGAAACTGCCCAGGCCCAGCCCACCTAGGGTGGAAATACTTCACTTACCAACAGGGAATTAAACCGTAACGCATTAGTATCAGTGACTTACCAAACACAATTAACAAAAATGTATTCACATACACACACTTGATTGTGTACAGTGTTTGATTAGGCATTCTCACACAAGCCTTTTCAGTAAAGCTTTGTCAGGACAGTAACAGGTGATTTGAAAATTGCACATCATGGCTCCAGGGAGATTTTTTATTAATGTGGGACACGTTACACAGAGTGGCAAGAATGCACCACTTGGATTTTTTTACTACTGTACATTTGAGAATTAAGAGTATTTAGGAAGCAGAGAAAGGCAAAAAAGGGCTCCTGAGCTCACAGCACTTGTGAATATCAACAAAAAAGTGTCCATATTAGCAGACAACCAACTCAGTCATCTGTTTCTTACAAAATACTTTGGGAAGTACATACAAACACAACAAAAACAATACTTCCTCAGAAGTATTTTCCTGAGCCTTCAGGTGACGTCCTCAGTCAAAGAAATACCTCTCTGGTATCTTTTTTATGCTAACGCTCGACAGATATTTATTATGTGAATTTGTCCAGCCCTTTTTGAGTATATGTAAAATTTTAGCACCAATACCCTATAGGGGCAGTAAGTTTCACAAATTAATTACACACTGCATGTAGAACCATCTCCTTTCTTTTATGCTGAATCTACTATCTGCTGACTTAATTCGATGCCTTCTAGTTAAAAAATCATAGAATCATAGCGTTGGAGAATGGCGGGACATGATCCTGGGAATGCACCTGGGGAAGGCTAAAAAGAGCAAGGCCACAGTCCCCTGGGAATGCACAGACACAGTCCTGGGAACGCACCTGGGAATGCAGTGTACAAGCAAGGCTCTGGAGACAGTAACTTATATATAGATAGGGAGTAACTCAGCTGGGCAGATGGCACATGGCAGGGGTAACTCATCCTTGAGGCTGAGACAAACAAATTCGAGAAAAACAGCTAGGAATGCAC